CATCAGGCTCCGCTCCCAGGGAACAGGGACAGGAGAAGAGGAAACAGCCACAAACTGCACCAGGGGAGGTCTAACTCGGATATCAGGAAAAGCTTCCTCACAGAAAGGGCTGCCCAGCCCTGGCAGAGCTGCCCAGGGCAGTGGTGGACTCCCCGTGCCTGGAGGGATCTAAGAGCTGTGTAAATGTGGCACTTGAGGATGGGGTTTAGTGGTGGCCTTGGCAGTGCTGGAGGAACAGCTGGACTCTGTGATCTCAGGGGCTTCTCCAACTTAAATGATTCTATGAAAATAAATTAACAAACTTTTATACCTCCAGCTGCTTTATTATTTTAGTCCTTTGTCTCCACTTTCATACACACATTTTATCCAAGACAAACACAGTGCCCATCCCCTCCAAACACAACCCTAAGCTGGGTGGTGATTTACCCCTCCACACAATCATCTCCTCCCTTTGCCTAAGAGCTCTCAACGCAGAGAGAAAATATTCAGGTTATGTCACACTGTTCAAGATCTGACAGATAACCCTTGAGCAGCGATTTCCACCACCTTCATTTCCCAAACCAATCCAACAAATGGAGCACAGGACGCTCTGTGTATACTGCCAGGTTCAGATAAGGAGATAAGACACAAAGATGAATATATCAGTGCTACTGGCAAGATTACTTCCCATCTCTCCCAAACTGACACATTAATATATTTGAGAAGGGGGATGGCAGAGGAGCTGACAGTGTGGAGGAAAATGCAAGACAGAAAAGGAAATGCCAGTATTTCACATAAAGCATCAGAGAAAACCATGAAACAGCCATAAGGGGGAATGCCAAGAAATAATGCACTTCCAGTGCCAGATATTTTTTCAGTGTTGTCACATTTCAAGTCTCCTAGCTAAATGGGCACTTTCAACCCAGAAGATCCCTAAGCACTTTAAAAGCTTTAGGAATTGCACTGCTGAGAGGACCTTTCATCATAAACTAAAATTCAGTTAGTGAAACAGGACATACAGCAACACTCCATGGCAAGTTGGGGGTCTCACTAGAACTGGAAATACTGAGAACAGTGTTTAGACAAGATTTGGATTTTGAGCAATTGGTTAATACTGTAACTCTGACACTTCATTTTTCTATTATCTCTGATTATAACAAGCACCCAAACCCAGCACAGCACAAAGCACCCACAGGAGCTCCAAAGGACCACAGGTACTGATGGGACACAGTTTAGGCATATGCCAGCTAAACACAGACCCATTTGCTCTTGCACATCAGGAATTCATTCCACCCGGCTCAGGCTGCAGGCTCTTAGTGGATCATACCTATCCCAGCTGGAACAGCCCATCCTGCACTCAGGCACCCATTGCTCCTCAACGCTGCCAGGACACAAACCCACCTCGCCAACAGCTGAGCCACAAAACATCCTGTGCCTGGAGTGCTCGGGCCATTTCCCTCAGCGCTGACTGCCCAAAGCGCCCCCAGGAAAACCACCAGGTCCAGCTGGGACAGGGACACCCGGCCACCCCCACTCCCAGCACAGCCCCCAAGCCCCCCGGCAGCCGAGCCCACCCAGGGGACACGGCCACCCTGGCACATCCCCGCTCCCCGGGGCGGCACGAGGGACCCCAGAGTCCGCCGGCACGGTGACACACCAAGCCAGACCCTCAGGGCACGGAGCAGGGAGGTGACACCGACACCAGCACGCTGCTGGGGCGGCAGCGGGAGCTGCTGACCGTGGGTGGGACCCTCGCCTCAAAGCCGGGGGTACCACACATGGCCAGAGGGCTGCAGGGGCGGCGAGGCGGCGGTGTGGAGCGGGCAGGGCGGCGGTGGAGGGCCCAGAGGCTCCGGGATCCCCGGGACGGAGCCGCCCCTTCCGAGCCCATTCCCGGTCCCCTTCCCCGACCAGCCCCTCAGCCCGGAGCCCCCACCGCGCATGCGCAAAGCCGCTCCCGCCGCGGCTCCCAATCTGGCAGAGCGCCTCGCCGCCCCCAACGCGCACGCGCGCCCTGCCGCCTCAGCGCTGCTGCTCAATGGCTCACAATTTGGCAGCCGCCAGCGCGGCCCTCGGCGGCGCCGGGGGGCGGCGGGAAGGGGCCCGCCCCGCCCGGAGGCGCGGTGGGGACGCCCGGCAGCGGCGAAACGGAGCGTTACCTGCAGGATACTCGACGTGAGTGAGGGAGACCGGCCGCCACGGCGCGGGCAGCGAGCACTCCCCGACTGCGGCCATCTTACCCGGATACCGGGCCGGGCCGCTATGGCCAATCGGGACGCTCTTGAGGGGCGGTGCGGCCAATGGGCGGGGGCGCGGGGAGCGGCGGGCCAATGGCGGCGCGCAGCAGGTGAGGCGCCGGGCAGCCCAGCACCGCCCAATTAAACATCCAGCCCGGGGAGCGCCTCAGCCAATCGGCTGGCGGCACCGCGGCCCGGCAGTGGGCGGGCGCAGGGAGAGGCACAACCAGTCGGAGGAAAGGCGGGCTCCACGACGTTTCTTCATTGGCCAGAGTTGCCGTGCGGATGGGCCAATCAGCAGCTCGCTCTGGCTCCAGTTTTCAGCCAATCAGCGGCGGCGCTGGCGCGGCGGGCGCGGGGTGCTGAGGCGGGGGCTCGGCGGGAAAATGGCCGGGCTGGGCTCCCCTCAGAGCCCGGCGGGGACGGCCCGGGCTCCCCTCACATCCCTGCACCCGGCGCGACCCACCCCAGGTTCCCCTCACACCTCGGCGGGAACAGCCCGGGCTTCCCTCACCTCCCTCACACCCCGCTGGGAACAGCCCGCGGGTTCCCGCTCGGGCTGCCCTCACACCCCTCTGCAGCCGCCACAGTTGCTGTAAAAAAAAAAAAAAAAAACAAAAAAAAATCCACAGAAATAACTTTTTTTAAAAAGTATTTAAATGAGAATCGTTCATTTCAGAAGGGTATTACTACATTCAGCTGTACATCACGCCATCTACATCACTGCCCTAGCCCGGGCATATTTCTCTTTTCTCCCCACAGAAGTGATTCACTGGTAACGTCCAAGAGCTGCTAAAAGTGAATATTTGGATTTTTTTATATAACACCTAGGAACCACAGGTGTAAAGAACAACCAGCTCCCGTGCGGGTGTGCACACGTGAAAATAAAAACCTGAAGTAAAGTCATTGAATGTCAGAATGGTTTGTTTGAGAAAGCACATTAAAGCCCATCTCACCCCACCCCTGCCATGGCAGGGACACCTTTCACCAGCCCAGGCTGCTCCAAGCCCTGTCCAACCTGGCTTTAGCCACTTCCAGGAATGTGGCAGCCACAGCTTCTCTGGGCACCCTGTGCCAGGGCCTCACCACCCTCACAGGGAACAATTTCTTCGCCAAATCCTGGCAGAAAATCCTTTAAAGATTCCACAAAGGCCAGGCAAACACCTGGTCCAGGTGATACCTTTTTTCCCCCCCGAATACCTTTAACTACAGAAATCACTTTGAAGACCAAGCCAAAAGGAATGTTCCCATATGTGACCCTAGAAATAAGACTTACCTGGGGAGCCTCAGGAAAAGCAGAACATGGAGCAGCACTGGACAGAAAAGCTTTCAGAGGGTAAATCCACCTTCAGACCAAACAACCAAAGTTAATTCAATATTATAAAAAAAAAAAAAAAACGTGTAGAAAAATAAATATGCAAGAGTGATCAACAAAGGCATGGGGCTGCCTTTAATTTGCGTCAAGGAAGCACGTGGACCAGGATTTCCATCCCGTTAATTAGGATTTCAAAAAGGGCAGAAAACTCCTTTTCCTGCAGTTGTAACATACCCTCTTCAATTATGATTATGTCCCATTAATTTCAACAAGCTCTTCGTAACTGACATTCTCCTTGGTATTTCAAGAAGTAAAATAGCATTAAAGTCTTATTATTTGGAAAGAAAGAGAAAATATTTACTGCAGGAGCTCAGTTCGTTGCAGAAGACTGCTATGAGGGAGCATGAGTGATTTACTCCTTTCATTACTCAAGTTAAATAAATCTCCTCCTTTCCAAGCTATTGAATGTAGAGTTATGCTGGCAGAGTGGATTACATTTGATCTATGTACCATGACAAGTACTGAAAATTGTGGGCTTCATTGCTGTATTCACCCACTCCTTCCTGAACAGGAGAAAAAAGTGTCAATACACGGAGCAGCCTTTGCTCTGTGCCTCAGCACAAGAAAGCACAAAGCTGCTCTGGAGCTGTAATGAGTGTGGAGTCTGACTCCATGGAAACTGAGACAAACTCCTTTTAACTCTCTCAACTAATGATCAGGGTGTGGCGTGAGAAAAAATTTTCCTATCCATGAACATTTTATTTGCATATATCCGAGTTCATGACAGGCTTGCATTAATGCTAACAGAGACTCGTTTTTACTTTTTTTTTTATTTTTAAGCGTAGGGATGAAATTTTAATCACTGTGGAAGAATCAGCCAATCAGTTTCAGTCTGGTTTCTCTATCGTTTGAAAATGAAAGTATTTAAATCCACTGTAGTTGTTTCAGGAGAGCAAGAAGATGATTTTCTTGCCTTGCTCAGCAGATAAGCAGCTCTGATACCAACCCACAGGCTTTAGTCTGGGTTTCACAGTTTGGGAAGCTGGTAAATGCTGCAGGAACTTGGACAATGTTTGAGAGGTTCTGCTCCTCACTGGGATTTCTGTTCTCTCTTCATCACAGCCTACTCACACCACACCCCAACACAGTCAAACCACCACAGAAAAATCTGAAAAATGAAACCCCACAGTTTCCAACCACAGCTCAAAGTACAAGGACTTGTTTTGTTTATTTTATAGACCACTTCATCTGTGGACTTTTCAGCAGACCCAGGAAGACTCCCCATGCAATCGAACCCTTTAACTTTACATTTAAACCTTTCAAGTTCCTCATTTTAGCCCTAGGAACAGCAAGCCTTGTCTGATACCATCACTAGCAGCAAAGGTGCCACCACAACTGCCACCTAAATAAGAAACAAAAGACTGAGTTTCTAGCATGTTTCTCCAGGAAACTGAGGAACAAAACCACAATCATGAAGGAAAGTTTTATTTTACTTGTAATGCCCACATCCTAAGATTAAAGATATTTTTAAAAAATTAGCTGCAAAGAAAAAGATAAAAGCAAAACAAGAACAGATTTTTACACCTTTAGGAAATCAAGAAAAAAAAATAGGCACAAGTTTACATTCATTAGTTTCAGATATGGCAAAGGAATGTTCTACTGAAGAGGGATAAATAAAATCCTGCTTTCCCACTTCCCTGTATGAGACAACACAAGTCATGCTCTTCAAAGCCACACTGATCTTGTAGATACAAGGCAGATTTCTCCTCATAATTTTTTTTTTTATTAATGTGCTTTAAAGACCATAAAGACCCTCCTAGAGCCATTTGGCACAGTCTCTACATACATACTAAAGTACCGAGGATGTACTTTATACTTTAACCTCTGGTGAAGCTTGTTACAACCTCCACATAAAAAATGAAAGTCATGCATATTTTAAATTCTGTTTAAGCATCAGACACTATTGAGGGATTTTATTTCATTGCTGCTAAGCCCCTTTAAATCCCCATCAGTGTTAAAATCTTGCAAGTGTCAGCCCAGGATGATTTAACCCCTTGACCATAAGAGCTCATCACTAAAAAAGGTGAACCTCTTATCTCAAGGGGCTCTACCCCAATACACAGCTGCTACTAATACTGAAGAATTTCCATTGCTAAACACAGTCAGCTGGGGAAGGGGTTTTCTAGGGATCTCAGGAAGCCAGAGGGCAGGCAGGTGTTCCATCACACCCTTTAACTCTACCCTGCAATACAGCTGAGTACGAGAATCACCTTTTGGGCTGGGCCCTGCTCTGGGTGGGATCAGTGGAAGCAGCCTGAGGGCTGCATCCAAAGGACTTGAACACAGCAGGTTCCTGACACCTCTGCTCAGGCCAGGGAAAGCTTCTGCCACAGGAACAGCTCCTGTCAACCCCTGATTCCTGCAGTTCCCTTCAGAGGCTGCAGACACCTTCCTGCCTTTCCTCGAGCTACACCAGGACTGGGGAGGGACAAAAAGCAGCAATGAAGTGAGGGGGAGGTGTAGAGAAGTTTAACATCCATCCCAGTAAAGATAAAACCAGTTTGTCTCGGCAAACATCCTTGGCTGGTGCAGGACCAAGTCACTGCTGGTGGGAAAAGGCGGAGAACTCGACCTTCAAGAAGCTGCGGATGTTCCCGAGGCAGATTCCTCTTTACCTTCACTGGGAGGGCTGTGTAACCTACTTGCAATAAGGGCTAAGGAAAAGCATCAAGCTGTAATAAAACAGTCTTTCTTCATTTGATTGATAAGGAATTTACAATTTCTCAGCTTCAAAAGCCACAGTGCAAGTTAGTGTTTGCTTCAGGGGGACCCTGTTTCAGTATCCTCTCCCGCAAGGATGCAAAAGCCCAAAGTCAGCAGCCAGTGTTTTTGTCTGTACACAAAACAGGCAGGCTGCCCAAGAACTGAGGACAAAGACACTCAAAACAGTAAATAAATACACATAAAACAACACTAAAAACAAACAAAAAAAAATTAACAGCACTGATTGTTTAGAATTACAATCCATCTCATTATATTAATCTTCACATTTTAGCATCTTTTTAACCACTATACAAAAGCTGCTGAAGTGACTTTCTTCTAAACCAGGAGCACAAAGCACTGTCAACATTATTTTTTTGGCAAAGTAACTTGCTTTCAGAATATACTATACTTTCAAATCACAGTTTACATGTAGCAGGTGTGTCATTCTAATACAACATTCTCCATTTCTTTTCTTCCTGCACACTACCAGGAGCAAGACATCTCAGAGACCCTTTCTAGTTTCCACTGCTGTCCCTTAAAGCCTTCTCATAACAGTTTATTCCACGCAGCCTCACTTGGGGCAGCTGCTCCTAATTTCTGCCTCAGCATTGTCCTGTTTATTGCATTAATCTGGTTTCCAGGATAAGCCACATCAGTCTGATGTGCTTACAGAGCACCAGATGTTACTGTGCTCTACACGCACCCCCCTGCAAACAACTCAGGAGCATTTCAAGGAATCACAGAACCACAGAAGGGTCAGGTTGGAAGGAACCACAGTGGGTCATCTGGTCCCACCTCCCTCCTCAGGGAGGGTGTCCCTAAAACACATGGCACAGCACATTTATCTGCTTCTTTTATGTCCTTCTGTTTACTTTTTTTTTTCTGTTTATTTCCTTCCTGTTTTTACCAGCAGAATCCACATTAGATATCTGAAGAGGAAGAAAGCATTTGTATTCTCCAAGCCCACACAGTGACTTTCCACTCATATGGAAATTCCAGATTCTTACATATTTTTTTCACTTGCAAAAATACATCTGGGTAAGCCTTGTGTCTTTCACCCATAACAGGCACAAGGGGTAACTAATCAGTCTGGAACAAAAAAAGGCTCATGTTTTTGTGGAAGTCCTGAAAACCTCCTCATTCCGAGGGCTGGACTTTGACCTGTATGTGGACTGAAACAGAAGAAGGCACAGGCTGGATCTCTACTTTTATCTGTGGCATTGTACTCACAGAGGACTCAGCAAATCATTGCAAACCTCAGTCCTGCAAGCCAGGACTGCCTCAAGTCAATAACATGAAGCTGACTCAGGAGAGGTTTAGGTTGGATATCAGGAAAAGGTTTTCTACCCAGAGCGTGGATGGGCACTGAACAGGCTCCCCAGGGAAGCGGTCACAGCACCAAGCCTGACAGAGTTCAAGAAGTTTGGGCAACTCCCTCAGCTCATGGTGGGAATGTTGGGGTGTCCTGTACAGAGACAGAAGTTGGGCTCAATCCTGATGTGTCCCTTCCAACTCAGCATATTCTATTATTCTGTGATTTTTATGATTCACTAAGTCCAGCACGCTCCACTGCTGCTGTCCTACACGAGTATCCAGCTCAGCTCACATCCCAAAGCAGCCAGATTCCAGGTGCTGGCTGGGCAGTCAGGATCACAGCATTTGAGAAGCACTACCATACACACATCTGATCATTACCCAAAATCATGCTGTATTTCTTAGAACTGACAGACTGGAAAGACTCATTTCCTCTCTAGAAACTTGATCTCAGCTCTCCAACTATCCACACACATAACCTCACATCCAGCATCTACACCTCTCACCACCCTGTGCACAAAAGCAATAGGCACCACATTATTACCCCTTCCCCCTGCTTGTACACACCCCACACCTCCTACCCAGCAAAAACTGCTGCTGGCTCATTCTGAAATCCAGCAAGGCACTTTGATGGGTGTCAAAGACTTTGTGCAAGCACAGGCAAGATGCAAATCCCCTCCCTCCTCACACTAACCTGCCTTAGGGGCAAACACAGACCTCAGCAACCTCCTAAGCAAGGATGACCAGGACACAGAGCTTGTCATCTGGTCTCCAAAGAGCAGCAATACCAAGGGAACAGACCCATTTCCCCAGAGCTTCAGACTGCTTACAAAGTCTGCATTTTACTTCAGTGCTTTACAGAACTATTTCTTCCTCCCCAGGAAAGAAATCTTTGCTAGTCACATTGCATATGGTATCACACTTAAGGTACAAATCAGCAGTAATTAGTGTCTGTAGGAACACAGCAGAGAAGAACAGTAATAAAAATCCCAAAGCAAGCAAAGCCTCCTTGAGAAGCTAATGGTCAAATGGAGAATGTACCAGCGATATTCCTGTTCCCACACACAGTCGTAAACATCAGGGATTCACCTCCCAGAAAACACAAAGGCAAAACAGGTACATACATTGCCCTACTCAAGAGAACTGGGCAAAAATCTGGGCCCAGGCAGTTCAGCACACGATGTATATATGAAACATTAAAAGTAATAAAATGACAGGAAGGTGGAACAAAGAAGAAATTCAAACCATAAGTTGGCAAGTGGTCCTGGATCCATCCCAGCAAACACTACTGGCTACAAAAAGCAGAAGGTCCCACCAGATTCCTGTGTGTTCACAAAGTCTTGCTGCCACCGCTGCACTTTTCAGGTAGTTTTATCCATCTCTGGGAGGAAAAGGTCCTTGTACAAAAGTGTTTTTCCTGCACTGACATCAGATGAGCTCCTCCTTCAGCGGCTCGGTTTCCCCGGGAAGCACGCCGTTCATCTCCGGGGAACTCTCGGTGCCCAGATACCCCAAGAGGATCTCGCTGCGCCGCCGCGACAGCTGCAGAATGTCCTCTGCCAGCAGCTGCACGGTCGTGTACCTCACGTTGTCGAAGTCAAACATGTCCTTCAGATACTGCACGATCTGGTGCTGCAAGAAAAGGAAGGTTACAGTCAGACCTCCTTCACCTGCTGGTACCAGCCACCAAGAGCACTCAGCAGCAGCTTTGAGCCAGCAGACAGGAGTCCCACACAGATGAGGCACAGAAAAACCACCTCACCTTGAAGAAACTGCAGACTTCAGATAGCTGCTGCTTGGGCCCCAGAAAACCAAAGGCTAGAACAGGACTGACATGCTCCGATACGGAGTAGAAATGAGAGATAAAGCCATCTGGTACCTGTCACAGGGAAGGACAGAATTAGTTGGTCTTCATTCTCAGACAGAATTAGCAGCTTATTCCATATCAGCCACCAACTCCCCTGCCAGAAAGCTTCAGTATCTGAAGTTAAGAGCTATTTGGAACATCTCTTCCTGCAAACTACATTTATCTTTCAGAACCCTTGAAGGATGACTAGAGCTTTTTATCTTCATGTTTCTAAACTGCTATTTCAAGAGGAAAATGAACAGAAGAAAATGAAAAGCAATCACCAGCAAGCCTTTATAGCCTCTATTTATAATTTGCTGACCAGGCCAGGAAAGGACATGCAAATATCCAAGGCAGTGCTACTGCATGACAGTACCAGTAGAGCTTCCAGTTCTCTCATTTCTCTCTGTGCCATCTCAGGAGCCAAACCCCGTCGTACCAGCTGGCTGTGGGATTGAGTTGAAAAATTGCCAGAGGCCACAGACCCTGTGGCAGAACCAGGGTTGTGAAGTTGTGGTTTCCTGTTCCCCTGCTCCATAAACTCATCTGCTGTGATACTTTAGGAAGTCACAGATTTAAGTGAAACTCATCAAGTAATGGCTAATTAGCATCAGCACTGGGGAGTGGAGCAGTGCCTGAACCTTCCTTTTGCTACCAGCAAGGAAAACACAATTCAGGAGCAGTCCCTTGTTGCTTGGGGTCTGTGGCCATTCCTGCAGTATTGTGAGCAGGGAGAGGGAATTCCAGACAGGCAATATTGTCATTTGAATCCTCACATTAAGAAAAAGGGAGAATAAACTCAGACTGATTCAATAAAATACTGGCATAGCACTGGAGCAGTGACTGCAGGACCCCAGGGCTCTAAAGCATCACAGAGAATGTGACTCTGTTCAGTCTTCTACCACTTAAGATTTCACACTTTATCAAGATCTATGTGTTCACTTTACAGCCTCAAATACATTAGATTCTTTCCCTTTTAATTTTGCTTACCATCAGAAGCCTTCTTTTTGCTTTCAAAACTGACCAGCAAGCAGTTGCTAGAGCCTACAATTACAGAGAGACCGTTAGTTATTCAGATTATTTAAAAAAACCCAAAGTTTACCAACACATTGTCATCAAAACATCAAAGCAGTCACCCTTTTGGGCCAAAACCTCTTTAAAATGACAAAATTAAAGCAAACTGGAAGCAGATTTATCCACTTCAGATCCATTCCAGAGAAGCCTAAGGGTTTTTGAAGATTGTTAATATGATCTGACATAGCTGCCCAACAGCCCACGATCCCCTGTAAGCAGACAGCTGTTACAAAGTTCCATTTTACTCTCAATCTATCAAACTAATCAGTCTTAAAAATACAGCTGGGGGGCAGAACTAAAGGAAAGCTTTGCAATTTGAGCTTCACTGTCTGCCAAGGTACTGCCAGAATGAACGACCACATGCTAAAACCCACATATTTTTCCCTACATTTTGGCCCTTTTATTCTCATTCATAAAAATAGGTGCTGTCATCTTTTAACATCTCCATGGCATCACTGATAAAAGCCCCCAGAGCCATAAGTCTGGTTGCCAGCCAGATGCCTTCAGAATAAGGAAAGCTTTCCTGTAAACAATTTCCATGCACAAGAAGGCTGTTGTTTAGAACTTCAGGAAAGCGTGGCATTTATAAAGAGAGAATTCAGCTCAGCTGGGAAAGATGAGGTTATGCTCTTTTCTGGCCTTGGCACTGGTCTCACACTCACACCAGCCCTCCCTGTCTCACACACCGTCTCCTTGAAGCTGTCGGACAGCCAGCGGTTGCGCAGCACAGCCAGCACGGAGGAGGGAGGGTTCTCCAGATCCTCAAAAGCATCCATGAGGATGAAGTCCAGCACAATATCAAAGAAGCTCATGCACACCACCTGTCAGGGAGCAGAACAGTCTGTAAGGAGAACAGGTTTTTAAAAGAGAGACAGGCTCTTTTGGTTTGAAGCAAGAAGATGTAACAAGCTGAAGTCAATATAAGTGTATTTCAACAGCAAGTCTTTCACACCTGGGCCATTCCTACACGTGCACTGTAATAGTCACAGTGATTTGGCTTGTAAGGGTCTTAAAAACCACCCAGTTCCACCCCCTGCCATGGGCAGGGACACCTTCCACTAAACCAGGTTGCTCCAAGCCCCATCCAGCCTGCCCTTGAACACTCTCAGGGATGGGAATTCCACAACCTATCTGGGCAAGGATTATCTTCTATCTCCTCTGCAACTCTGTAAAGACAATGTCTTTACCAACCCCTCTTCCCTCAAGCTCCTGCTGTGTGGTTGGCCAGGTCTCCTGCTTCAAGGCATAACGCAGCATCTCCTCATAGCTTTCCAGGAAAGCTTTGGGATTCTGGAAGAGCAGAGAAACAAAACAGAAGTTTAACTACTTGGATTTGAGCTGACATCAACATCACAGTAATCACCAGCATGCAGATGAAGTTTTCTTCTTCCAACACGCTGGAAAAACTCTGAGTTGGGATGGGGGAACAAGTATCCCTGTGCTCAAGACACAGTTTAGTTGTTACACAAACTTCCTACCTTTTCAGCTTTTGTCATCAGTCCTATCATCATCTGCTTCCCAACCTCCCCAAAAAACAGCTGATTGCTTTCATCTTCCAGCAGCTCCTGCAAAGGGAACACAGATGTCTCTTATGAGCACCTACACACCCTCAAATTCTAAGCTGGAAAAAACCCAAAAGGGCAGGACATGAAGTAGTGCAATGCTGCACACACCAGTGTCGTTAACCTTTAATAAGCTGGAACCTAGGAAACAAAACTGCACAGCCTGGGAGCCTGGAGCCATTCTCACCTGGAATGCCTGCCTGACACAATGCAGCTTTGCCAGGAAATCCTGGTCACTGTAGCAGCCAAGGAGCTCTGTCCTAAAGGAAAAAGGGAAGAATTGTGTAAATTCCAGTTCTGATGTCAGTGTTCCTACAACTGTGGTCCCCTACAAACAAAAAACTAAATTCCCAGTCTGTGCATAGGAGACAGGAGCAGTCACATCCCCTTTATCCAGCTCCCTGGGGGAACAGAGCACCTCTGCCAGGCTGGTGCAAGACTATGCCAGCCTCCCAGAACAGTCACACTTCCTATCACTAATTTCCTGGAACAATTACTCTTTCTTAACATGCAAGTCCCTAAAATCTGGGGTTAATTCCCTGGGAAGGCCGAACCAGCAAGAAGGATGGTATGATTTTGACCCCAATGGGTTATTCTGGTTATAGGGCTGCTCAAAGGCAGATGATGTGTTCACAGAGGGGACACCAGGTCCCACAGCTCCAGCTGGCTCTTCACCTCAGCGTCCGGCACGCGACCTTCCCTTCTTTCACCAGCTGCAGGGCTTCTTCATATGCTGCCACTGGCTTGGAGAGGTGGAATGGTATTTGCTCAAAGGGGAGAGAGTCAAAGAGCTGTAGAGGTAACAAGAGACATGGGAAGAACAAAATGAGCTCATTAAATATTTGCAAACAGACAAGTGAGTGCACACAAGCAAGATGGGCCTTCAGAGAATCTTCAGCTAGCAGAGTTTGTCAGTGACAATTGTTTCAGGCAAAGACATTTCTTTTTTCACCAAAAGCTGTCTCAGCTCTGACACTGCTCAATATTCCATAAAATTTACACCACCAAGCCATCTTAGATAGATAACAGCACTTTCCTAGCTGTTATGGCGTGTTTTCTGTAGTGGATAAGAAGACAACATGGATGTGCTGGTTGGAAAAGCCTGCCCCATGCCCCTCATTAAAACCTTTTCCTAACATCCATCGTGAACCTCCCAGCCTGGGGTTGTTGCTCTGTGTTTGATCATCTTCCTTTCCCAAGATATGTTTGGCTCTGCTGCCTTTGTGCCTTCCCTCCAAGCCACACAGGTGACACACAGGTGACACCTCAGTCACCTCTGCTGCAGAGAAGAAGGAATCCTCTGAAGTGGAGCTGTCCTCATCATCCGTCCGCAGCCGCAACGATCCGTCCGCCAGTGGAAGCATCAAGGTCTTCTCTGCAGGAGAGAAAGAAGCCATGTGTGTTGGACTTCATGGACCAACATTCCTCTTAGCTCCTGTGCTCTCTTCCACTCCCACTTTGTCACTCCTTCACCTGGCTTATAGAAAAGACATAAAACCAGGCAGGAAATTGGCGTTTTACTGCAGCCACGTGCCCTACCTAGATCCAGCAGCACGCTGTCCGACGGGAGAGAGGAGCCAAACTCTTCCTGGAGGTGGTAGGCTCGGTGCAAGAGGGACTCCAGCTTCTCAGCAAACTCCCTTTTCTGGGACTCCTCCTGGAACACACAGAAATGTCACCCTTAGTTAGCCAGCTGGGCACAGACAGATTGGACAGCACGAATACGGGAGGAAATTTTCAGTAAAAATGGGATTTGCAGTCTGCAGATTAAATGATTAAAAATAAAAAGAGAGAGGAGTCATTAATCCTACAATGCAGCTAATAATGTATGGGGAGGGAAGCTTTTACACAGCCTACTCAAACCCTCTGGCTTTTGAGCTTCATAATTTTGTTTTCCTGTTAAAAAGGGAAGAAAGAACTAAAGACCTTTAACCTGCCAGCCAGAAAAACAGATATTTTAATAAGTTATACACCACTTAAATCTCCTGACTTTTGCCTTTAGCCTAACTTCCAGGAGAAATCGCATCAGGAAACCTGAGTTGAATGTAACAGGATATCCAGAACTGGATAACAGAATATTTATATTAAGGTGCTGGGCATAAGCAAAGTCTGCTAAACAACACAGAAGGATGGGAAAAAACAGAGGAAAATAAGACTTAAACAGCATCTTGCCTTCATGCCCCTATGTTTGCATGAGTATCTCACCCAGAAGACAGGAGCATTAACAAGAAGCACAGAATCTATTTTCATAATGAATCAACCAGTTTTAAGGCAGTTTTAGAAACACTACAGGGCCCTTCAAGGAGAGCCAACAACAACAGAATCCAGATTTGACTTGGATAAATATGATCCAGCACAAAAGACAAATGTCCCACATAGTTACTACACCAGACTCTGTTTACAAAAGGCTGGGAACACTTTTTTTTTTCCAGTGAGAACTCCTGGAGAGTTCGGAGTTCAGCTCCTTTCACAGTCCTGAGTTACAGCAGGTTTTTTTGGCTTTGTGGCTGTCACTGAGCCATTCTAGTTTAAATCTCCTTTAACACAGGTCTTTCATGAGGAGTCCTCAAGTCCCAGACAGCAAGGGTGTCCTAAAATCCTGCTTTCTCTACCTGCAGAGGCTGAGTGAGGTACACATCTCCCTGCAGGGACCAGGACCATACCCAGCTCCAAATTCCCACTGCTTTCCTCCTCCACACACACAGAGCTGGGCTCTGCTCTCCACCCAGCTCCCAGAAGTATCAGTGACCATCAAGATCTCCATTTTAAAGGCATTAAAAAGTTACAGAGACAACAGTGCCAGCCAAAGCAGTGCTGCATTCATCACAGCCTTTTCTCCCCACAGCCTGTGCCACGGGAGGACACGTGTGACAGTGAGTGACACGAGGCTGGAAGGTGGATGGAAACGCTGGGGAATGAGGGGGCGAGACGTATTAAAAAGAGAAAGAAATTAAAAACACCCACTCCCATTGCATAAGGAAGCTGCAGATACAGACAGCTCTTAAACAGAGTCTGGCCTGACTCTGCCCTTAATTTGCTCTCCTTTTAACCTCCCACCCAGCACCCAGGCTGGCCTTCCAGCGTGCAGGGACCTACCTCTGAAATGTTCTCAGACATGCTGTCTTGCTGTTTGCTGCTGTCCCAGGGCACAGGGGTGCTGGTACAAGCACTGTCCCTCTGCCTGATGCTCAGGGCCTGTTCCCATTTCTGTAGGGCCTCTTCAAACAGCTCCATGCCTGGAAACCCAACCAAAAACTGGCTGTGAGAGTCCCAGGGCACTCAGGAACAAAGAGATACAGGATGAGTCTTTGCTCACTCAGACAATCCAGCAAAGAGGGAAATCCCAAAATAAAGAATAAACATATTCTATTTCCTTCCTGTTTAAATATGGTTTACTCTGGATTAGAAGGAGAACATCCCCAAACTGGTTAAGGCATCATCCACGTTACTGCCAAAATACTGTTCTCTGCACAAGGTGAGCCTGTTGCTCAAGAACAGTATTTTGGAAGCAAATTATTCACTGACAAAAAAGGTTTGGTTTTTTGTAGGAGAAGATGGGATTTCTATTTGAGCTTAAGCTGAGAATGGAAGGGATCTTTCTGTTAGAGCTCTACATTGAGCTGCTGATGCTCTGTGTCAATTCTCACCCTCTTCTTGCTCTCACAGTGATTAACAACCCCCCCAGAGCAATGCTACCCTTGTGCCTGCTTACCTTGAACATAGAGGCTTTCTGCACTGGAATCACCAATGGCTCCAGCATCTCCCATTGCCTGGGCCTCCCACATCCCTGGGGGTACTGGACTTGAGGAGTTGACTGCTACCATCTGCAGGAAGGGAACAGAGAGCAGCAAATGCCTTTTGAATTCTCTTAAAGTTAGAGATGCTCAGATCAAACAAACACCAACAGCCTTCAGCAAAAAGGCATTTTCCTTCCCCATGTTTGCCCTTGTGCTCCCCTGCATCGATGAGCACTGAAAGGAGAGCCCTGATGGAGGAAATAGCCCAGGAAAGATCCAAAGCAATTGCTACAAAGGCATCAGGACTTTTATGGAAAGCTCACATCAGCCCCAGCTGCCTGTACAAAAAACACTGGAGATGGCAAGGAAGCAAGCACAGTCCTAACAAAAGAAACAGTTTCCCAGAAAAAATACAGCTGAGGATTTCCCAGAGGGCAAAGGGAATCCTCACTCTCCTCTTTGTAACCAGACCCTCTCCTGGGAGGGCTGAGCTTGACAATCCACACAGCAGTGTCAGTTCAGCTTTGTCCAATTTCCTACAAGGGCATCAATGTCTTCTAAAGTTTGACCCAATAAAGTGCTGGATTCAACACTATCAGTGACCAGTGTTTTCCTGTGGCTTACACAAGGATGTCCAAACATGAGCCTGGTACTAAAAAAAAGCTACAATAATCAGCTGACAGATGAATTCCTGTCCTGCCTCCATTGATCAATCCCTGTGGAGTGTTAATAAATCACCTTGAGATCCTGAACTGCAAATCATCAGTTCTCTGCTGCCAGTTTACTTACTGGATGGCAAAGAGGAGCCCAGGAAGCAAAGGAGAGCACAGGCAAAACCTGCAGCTGTGCAAAGGATGAGCTGGTTTTTCCACCATGTAATATAAAAACTGTAAGTACAGGGTCAGCTCATCTGTACAGAAACAGATGCCTCTCCATGGGGATATCCCCAGCCAGCCACCATCAGTGGAAAAAGATATTTATTTATGGATTGCTTTTTATTTAAAGAAAAACAGAACTTCAGTGACACAAAACCTGGACAGCATCTGTGTGAATTGAGAAGCCACGGGGGAATTACACGGCTGTGAGTCCCTGTGGAGGGGAAATAGCTGGACACAGCTCGGTGCTCAGGGACACATCCCACCACACCGCAGCTCCCCAGGGAATGCCGTGCCTGCCCAGCGCCGCGCCGGCACTGCCGCCTGCTGGAGACACGCTCCGGCCAGCACGGGTTCGGGCAACTCCTGGTGCCTCAGCTGTACTGAAAACAGCAGCTCCAGCATGTGCTGAGCAGTGCTGCCACACAACAGCTCCTTCCAAAGGGGTGATTTTTCCCCTCTCCCTGCCCCATCGCTGCCAAGCAGCCTCTGAGCCGGGCTATGAAAAAGAACAGCTTTGCAGCAGCTCACAGAAGTTTGCAGGAACTCACAGAAGTTCATCTGTGCCCCCCTGCTCCAACAGAACGTTAGCTCTGAGCGATGGGGAGGTGAAACAGGTCTTGAAGACACAAATTCTTCCAGTTTAGGTCTCACAAAAGGTGGATATAAGCACTGATGGTTTCTCCTGCCTGGTTAAGCCTGAATTACCTGTACCCATAGGCTGCTCCTTTCATTTTGGAGTAGGTAGAATGACTGGGCTGTGTTCTCACCCTGTTTCCTGAACAGAGCTATCAGATTTTGGTAGCTGATTTGGTTTTAAGAAGAAAGCAAGCCCCAGCACAGAAGGGAAGGGCTGCTGGGCCACCCTAACCCCCACCACAGAGGGAAACAAACAAGCTCTCCATTGCTGTGAGACCCAGAAACAACCCAGCCGAACTCCTTGAGGGAGTCACAGACAGCTCCAAGGATTCACGGCCATGTCCCACAGGGAAATCCCTCCTGAGACTCCTCCTTGGCCAAAGAATGGCCAAGGAACCTGGAGCTCCTGGCCACAAGAAATTGCTGCTCCCAGGGAACTTCAGACACTCAGTGCAAGGTTAACATCAGACCCTGCCCTACAATTATACTGCAATCTGTTCTGCTCCATGGGCCAGCACAAGCCCAAGGACCAGGTGATCTCGTGACAGCTCCGTGCACTGACATCTCCCAGCCCTGCTAACCAGGTCCTTACCGAGGCGAGGCTGTGGGAGGAACTGGAATGTTTGCTGGGCTCAATGGAGGAAATCCCGCTGAGCGTGTCATTGCTCTTGCTGCCAGGGCTCTGGACTCTCCTGCTGGAGTATCCTGCAGTTGGGAAAGTCACACAAAAACAGGATTTTAGGCCCAGTGAATGCAGCAGGGAATAGAGAGGGGAACATCACCTTGTCCAGTGTAACTGTCAATGGGCAAAGCAGTATCCAATACCTAGAAATAAGCCACAGATCTCCTGTCTGCTCCGCTTTGCTCTGAGACTGGTGTCAGTGGGGATCTGAGGCTGAGGAACGTATTCACTGCTTATAGACAGCAAGAGGCAAGTGGAAACAATCAAGCAAAAACTGCTCCACCTTTCCTCAGGACAGGCAGAACACGGACACTGCTTCCTTAATTTTCATGTTTCACCAAACAAATGCTTCATCCCTAAAGTGCTTTGCTGAGGGCCTGGGTCAGTCTTACCCCTAAAATCAGTACAAGTGATGAGGAAGCTGCCCAAGGTCTGGGAGTCACCACAGAGCTGGATGGACACTCCCAACTGCCCAGCCTGGCTCAGGCCACCCTCCCCTCCCCTCAGCTGAGCACTGACATCACCAGATCAATGCAGAACCAGGCCACTGCATGCCCAGGTCGTTATTATTGGGGCAGCCTGGTAATGGTCCACAGGCTGCCTACAGCAAAGGGGTGGGAACCACAAACCTCGGAGAAAACATCAGGATACCTTTTGTTCCCAAGACTGTGTCTCTCCCTCTGCTCCCCAAACCCCGAGCTCACGGCACTGCTCTTCAGAATCCCCACTTCATCCTGCGTCAGAGCCTTCACAAACGGCTTTGCTCTCCCCTCCCCATCGCTCCCTGCACCACCTCCTTGGGGATTTTTCCCTTTTTGCCAACCTTTCTTCACAGAGGAGACCCTCCTGGTCGGCAGGATGGGCACTGTGATCCCTCCAGGTTTAAAGCCACACTTGTCTGGAGCAATTTGCTTCTTTCGGCGGCGGCGGCGCTTGAGCTGATGAGCCGCGAGAGCCAAGGCCACCGTGCCCAGGGCCGTGGCAAAGAGCACCTTGCGCAGGCCTGGGGACAGCCGCAGCTGGGAGAACACCGACTGTACACACAAAAGAAATGGAAGAGCAACAATGAAAAACCAATTCCGCTGCTCTTTTTATTGAAAAAAAAAATTTAAACAGTGTTAAATATGAAATATTTTGGCTTTACCCTCCCACCCATAAAACACGCCCTCTGCTACACAACTAAGACATAGCAGCAGAGAGACTGTGGAGCATCATTTTGACAGGACATGGAGAACTTGGGTCTCCATCCTCATTGCCAAAACACTGCAAAATCTGCACACAGCCTGGGACAGATGCAATCCAGATAACCCAAATTCAGCTCTGAAACCCTGGTGTGAATCTGAGCTTTACTGCTCTGAGTGCTGCATCACCACAAATGGGGAACATATTACTCTTCTTTAAAAGACAAGTCTTTTTTTAGAGCCTTTGATGAGGATAAAGATTGAACCTGGGTGTTCTCCCAGTGAGGGATGTGGGAGGCGCTTTTCTCTCCTCTCCAAGCCCACTGAGAACTCTCTTCCACCACCCCCAACTCCCCCTGCAATTCCTCCAATCCCTCAAACTGCCCGGGTCCCCCAGCACCACCCCACCATGCCTCCATCTCACATAGACAACCCCGCAGAGCCAGCCCAAGGAATGTGACAGGAAAACCCTTCCTGCTCCTCGTACCTGCCCAAAGGTCGTGTAAACGAACACGGGGATCTCTGCCACGGTCATTGCCAAGGCCTGCATGATGGACATTCCCTCTGTCCTTCTGAATGCCATGTCTGCACCAGGATCTCGGCACCTTCGGGAGCCACGACGGGGAAGGGCACTTGTGGATGCTGTGTGAGCTGCTCACAAAAGAATCCAACTTTTCTCTGACATCTGGCTCAGAGTCCTGGAGTTGGCCTTCATCCAACAATCCTGCTCCTGCAGGAAGAGGGGGAAAATCAGGTGAGTGAGAGGAGCACCCGCCCTGCCCTTCCTACTCTTTATGAAACACACACCAGGTCACTTGGAGCAGCGAATCTAAAATATCTTCTCACCAGCAGCAGCAGCAATTCCTTTGTTTGTCCTACCAAGCACGGGGACAGATTCCCAAACTGCTCGACAGCAGCAGCACCCTGGGGTTTGACAGCTCCAGAGATTTCTACACGAACCAGACCTGGCTGCACGTGGCTGGAGGGATTTTGTTTGCAGTCCCCATATAAAAAAAAGTCCCAATTATCCCAAATAACCACACACGCATTTCCCTTGCCAAAACTCTGCTTTCACACACTTTCCTGTGCATCACAGCCCTGCTCAAGAGCCACCAACCACAGGGGGTTTGCCCAGGAGGTTCCACTGCTGCCAGCGGGGCTGGGCAGGAGGGATGTGCTCAGGGCAAGGACAGAGCACAGAAGGCGCTGATGTGTGACCCCAGAAGGCGGTGACAAAGCCCTGTCCCCGCACCCACTGCCCCAGCACCTCACGGAATGTTCTCGGGACAGTGGGAGCCCGCAGGGACCGCACACCGGACATGGGCTCTGCCACAAGGTTAAACACAACCTCCTGGCCACAGCAGAGACGACGAGAGCAAAGTGCAAGGAATTTTGGGAACAGAAAGCAGCCTGGGGTTACCGTACCGGCACAGCGACTACAGGCACCGAGGTACCGAGGCAGCCCCTCTGTCCGGGCATCTCCCCCAGCCCTGCCCGCCGTGGGCACCCGGGGGTTCAACCTCCGGCCCGGCGGGGAGCGTGCCACGGGAGCCCCCCCGCACCTGCACTGCAGCACGCCGGGCCCTGCAGAAAGGGCTCCCGCACCCCCGCAGCATCCCGGCACCCCGACAGCCCCCGCATCCCTGAGCATCCCCCTGCGCCCCCGGGTGCCTCGCACCGCTGCTGCATCCCCGCATCCATTCACCCCGGGGGCATCCCCGCCTCCCCCGCACCCGGAGATCGCGCACCCTCCGCGCCTCCCACCCCCATGACGGCCTTCACCCGGGGGTCCCCTGCTCGGCGCTCCCCTCTGCTTCCCCCCCACTAACGATGGTGCGGCCCGGCGGGCCCGGCCCCCGCGAGCGGGAGCGGGCGGCACCACTCACCGCGGCGGGGGGGGCGCGCGGCCCCGCTCGGCGCCCTCTCCCCGCGCCGCGCGCCATGGCCGCGGAAGGGCAGCGTCTCCTTCCCCCGCGCCGCAGCCCACCCAGCCAGGGGCGGGGCCAAGCGGCGATACCGCCCCCGCTCCCATTCCAGCCAATCAGAGGGGAAAGCCGCCCGCCGCTGCGCCAATCGGAACGCGCGCGGCTCGGGGATGCGGCGGCGATCGCGGCGGAGCGGGAAGGGAAGGGGCGGGGAGCGCGGTGCGAGTTCCTATTGGCGGACGCTGACAGCACCCTCCGCCGCCGCCGCCACGCTTAAAGGGGCCGCGCCCGCCGCCCGCGCCCCCGCCCGCCAAGGCGCTGTCGGGGCTCACGGACTCTGTGAGAAGCCGCAGCCCTTTTAAGAGACGCGGAGCGGGCGTCACCCGGCGCTATAAAAGGCGGCGGCGCGGCGGGCGCGGTGACAGCGGGGGCGCGGCGCGGCCGGGGCGGCTTGGGGGCCGCCATGGAGTTCAACGTGAAGAAGCTGGCGTCGGACGCGGGGGTTTTCTTCTCCCGTGCCATGCAGGTGAGGCGGGGCGGGCGCCACGGCGGCGGCACCGCCCGGAGGCCGCGGGGCGGGCGATCCGCGGGTCTAGGCCCGGCGGAGGCAGGGGGTTTGCTCGGGGCGGGGAGGCTGGAGAGGGAGATCGGAGCTGGCTGGGTCCGACTGCACTGGTGGAGCCGCAGCCCCCGGAGCACCCTGCAGGTGCATCCCCTCGGGAGCATCGCCCAGGCCGTGGCTCGGGGGCGCCGGGGAAGGTCCCGGGAGAGCCCCGGGGATGGCCCTCGGAACGGGGAGGGACAGCGGGGCACGGCCGTGCCTGGCGCTTGTTGGCCTCAAAGGAACAAAGCTGTGTGAGCTGGCACACGGCTCCTTTGTCCGTGCCAGCCGGGAAGGGATGCAGCGATCTGGAGGAGCTGCCCAGGGATGGCGCGGAGTCCCCACTCTGGAGACATTCCAAACCCACCTGCCCCAGGTGACCCTGCCTCGGCACGGGCTTGGGCGGGATGTTCTCCAGAGGTCCCTTCCAACCCCAGCCGCTCTGGGATCCTGTGGGATGCTCGCTGTCGCTGGAGGTGCCCGCACCGGGTCTGTGCTTCAGCCCCTGGGGAGGTGCAGGGGGTCCCAGGCCCTGGGAAAACACCGGGATGTTCAGGGATGGGAAGGAGCTGCTGAGGCACCAGGACCGTGCCAGGAAATGGCAGGAGCTGAAGGGGGGTTAGAGTGGAATTAGGAAAAGGTTCTTCCCCCACAGGGCAGTGGGGCACTGAACAGTCCCCGGGGAATGCTCACAGTCTCGGGGCCTGCAGAGCTCCAGGAGAGTTTGGACAACACCCTCAGGCACAGGGGGGATTCTTGGGGCTGCTTCTGTGCAGGAACAGTTGTACTTTGGTGATCCTTCAAAATATCCTGATATTCACAAACTTGAGATCAGGAGCTTCTGGGGATGAACCCCCAGAGCTGTGAAGAAATTTGGGTACACATGAGCAGCAGGTGGTGAGATGGAGCTGCTGAGTGTATTTATTTCTTGGGCATAATGAGTGAAAAGCTGCTCTTGTTTGGCCAGGGGAGGAGAGAGGCGGGTCAGAACTGGTTGGGATCCTGCCTGGAAGGTGAGGTCCAGCTGGTGGCTCTGGGACTGGGCTTCTCGCTCTGCCTATTGTGTGGGGGCTGGTAAACAAAGAGAGCAGAGCTGCCTCGTTCCAGACCTTCTGTGCAGTGGAGTAATGCTGGCTCTGCTGGGGACTGGTCTCCTGTAAGCAGATATCACCTCCTGTAACCGTGCCAGTGAGTCATATGTTATGAAAAAGGGAGATATTAACTACAGGTGCAAAATAAAGAGCAGATGGAAAACCTAAAGATGCTGTTCTCATGCAAACGACCTTGGACACAGAAGAAATGCTGGAGAGAAATCTTATGTTTAGAAGCCTTATTGTAAGTCTCTGCTAAGTGTTTTTTAGCTCCAAGGCGTAGGAAGGAGACAGGCCTGGGAACAGTGTCTGCACACAGTGATTCCAGAGCAAGGAGGCGTTTATAAATCGTGGCTGCTGCCTGCTACACCTACTCCACTGTCTCCTACATGAATATTCATATGCCTAATTACAGTAGTAATTTCTTGAAACCAAATGAGCACTGGCACTTGTGGACGGCGAGCAGGTGTGTAAGGAGGGGGAGCTGGAAGGAAGGAGATCTCTGAGGCTGAAAACCACCTCATGAGGGGTCACTGCTGGGGGAATTCAGCCTTTTTGGGTGCCCACGGAGCCCTGGAGTGGGTGAGCCCTGCCCCATCTCCCCCAGAGCCACCACTGACTGCTCAGCTCTGCTGTGGGCAGTAAGGGCTGGGTTTGTAGCCCTCTTTAGCACTGCAGATCTTCTAGGATGGGAATAAGCTGTCTAGAAAAAGCTGTTTTTTGTAGTGTTTGGAGATGCTTTCTGCAGCTCCAGGCATGTAACAAAGTGATGTTTTACTGGAGCTGCAGCAATTGGGAGATAAATGGACTGGCCATTATGTGCTGTTCCACTCAGACAGCATTTGCTCCTGCTGTCTGGCAGAGCTGTCTGACCAGCACAGAAGCTTCACTTGAACTGGAATTGGGGCTCAGCCAGGGGGAAAGGAGACATGGTCAGCACAACACCTCTGGGCTGGCTCAGGGCAGGAGCTGGTTTGAAATCTGTCAAATACAACCCAACAGAGGTGCTGGCAGAATGATTTTGGACTAGGCTTCTCATGGCAAAACCCAATCAAAACAGCTCAAACCCACTGCTTCCTTTACCTGGCTCTTCCTTGCTCAGGCTTCAGTCACGGAACTCCTCCAGAAAAGCAGAGCAGACACGAAAGTTGGGGTAGGAGAGTAGTGACAGCTCTGCCACCCTGGGAGCAGGGAACAAGCTTCTAGGCTGGGGCACTGCAAGGGTACAGAGCTGGTGTGGGATTCAGCATTCAGCTGAGGGTGGCCTCTGCTGACACTTGCACCAGTTGCAGCCATCAGATCTGTACTCTCTGAGGGGATGCAGCACCTGCAGACAGGCTCCTCACTCTTCATCCTCACTTGAAGGAGGGCCTCTGTCTTGGATCAGAGGCACCTTCCAGTTTTCATAAGTGGGTCTGATCCCAAAGCTTGGCCACTGGAAGCTCTGTGGTCACACACTGGATTTCTCTGATAGGCTGCAAGCCAGGCTCTTTCAGGGAAGTCTGGAAATAATAGCTTGGCCACTGGGAGCTCTGTGGTCACACACTGGATTTCTCTGTTCTAGATAGGCTGCAAGCCAGGTTCTTTTAGGGAGGTCTGGAAATTACTGTAGGTGTCTGTCCTTTGTCAGTTCTGATGTAAACAGGCTCTGGGTGAAAATACCCAAGGGTGAATGCAGCTTTTGGGTGCTTATCCTCCCCTAATGTCATTACTAAAACAGCTAGAGGCTGACTGACTCATCCTGAAGCCCCTGCAGACAGACAGACTCCCCCAGCTCCCTGAACTCTGGTGATAAAATAGACTTTTATAATTAGTAGATAAAATAAACCCTCTGCTTGCCAGCCTTATTAGTGCTCACACTTTAAAAGTTGAGAGAGCAGAAGGTGACCCAAGGAAAGGGCAAGGTCTTGGTAGGGACACAGCCAGGACAGCTGACCCAAGCTGCCCAAAGGGATATTCCATACCATGGGACATTGCTCAGCAATAAAACCTGAGAGAGAGGAGGAGGTGGGACATTATTGTAGAGCACATTTGTTTTTTGGAGTAACCTGGACACGTACTGAGGCCCAGCTTCCCGGGAAGTGGTCACACATCACTTCAGATGGGAAGAAGGCAAGAAAATCTTTTGGTTTCCTTTGCTTCCACATGCAACTTTTTCTTCATTAAACTGCCTTTGTCTTGAACTGTGAGGTTTTTCCATCTTATTTTCAACTTCCCTGCTCTGCTGAGGAGGGAAATGATAGAGAGGCTTGGTGGCACCTCACGTCCAGCCAAGGTCACCCACCACCGCAGTGCTTTTCCTCTCCTGAATGCCTGCTCGTGAGTTAACCAAGCTGTCCCTGTTAATGGCTTCCTTCTGTCCTCTAGCACAGTTTCACTTGGCTCCCAGCCTGGCTTTCCTGCCTCCTGGTGGCCAAATACTTGGAGCAGACTCTCTAGCTGGTCCAGAGTTGTTGAAAAGCAGGTAGTTTTCAGATGCTGAGTGGCTGTGGCTTCTTTCCTACTGCAGCCCTGTGCAAACGGGGAGCCAGATTTGCTCAACTGACTCTGTTGTGCTTTTGATCACCAAAAGAGCAAATGTTACTGTGCTTTGGGCATTTTGAGTCTTTGAAAAACCCAACAGTTTAAATCTACTGGCAGCTACAGGAAGCTATTCCTGGTTTAAGTCTCCTGGCCCAGGTTTGATCTTTGTAATTTAAAGTGGAAAGTCATAAGTGACATCCAGCTGGATAAAATGGGGACTCTGCAAGTGGCACAAGGGCCTGAGCTCTGCCACCAGATCCTCTGCAAGGGGGCTGCAGCCACCCTGTCAGAGATACAGCACACAGGCCTGGGCTTTTGTTATACTGGGATTTTTTTCCCATTTTAAGGAAAGGAAGGTGCTGGTGCTTTCAGCATGGGCTGTTTTAAAGCCTAACTCTGTCCTTCAGTCACAGGCCTGTCTGATCTGTTCCTGTGGTGCAGAGGAGCCCCTCCAGCTCAGCACTACTTGCTGACCCTCCTGACATCCCAGAGTTGTGTCTGGCAGCTCTCTTGGGGGAAGGGGCTTTTCCCCAAGCTGTGAATGCTTAAGACAGCTGCCCTAACTGCAGTCCAGCCCATCCATGCTCCTGTTGGGCCTGTGGCCCAAGTGCTGCTCTCCTGCTGGGTCACCCTGTTTGCCCATCTGGGCCCTGATAAAGCATCTCTTGTTCCTGCTGGCCAGCCAAGCCTCCCAGAGGAAACCCAACCTTTGGCTGAATTATTCATGTCCTGGAATGCAGCACAGCTCTGCTCTTCCTGGAGAGAGAGTGGCACTGACAAAAGGCTGCCCTGCATTATTAAGCACCTGCTCTGGGTCAGCTGCAGGGATGTTTCCTGCAGGGGAACAG